GTGGTACGTCCCTAACTGGGCTCAAGAAGGCCCTCGTGGTCACCCACTATAATGTGGAGAAGAATAACAGCCATCAGAGGCCAGTCACAGCTTAGTGGGAACTAGGACGGGGCACTGGAATCAGGAAGAGAAGTCCCTAACTTCTGCAGTGTCCCTCCAGCACCCCCTATTGGCAAGGCCTAATCCTGTGCCAGGTGACAAACGCTGAACTGAGAGGCAGTAAATGGATAACTGGCATGGGTGGGGGATGGAGGCCCCTGCTATTAATAAAAACAACAGTGATGATAATGGATAGCGTTCACTTCTCAGTGCTTCCTGTGTCACTTATCACAGAATCGTCAGGAAGGACTTGAAGGGAGAGGGGACAGTGGTCCTTTCTGCCCCCAGGGTCCGTTCGTTCACCCTTTGCTAGGCCCAGGGTCAAAGCCTGCTTTGGGCAGCCAACCCCTCCTCCCTCCCAGGCTGGGCCCTGTGCACGCAGCGGACTCCGGGCCTGCTCCCAGGGCATGTGATACCCCAGGAGTGGCCATTCAGAACTTTCCTGACCCACACACATGGTGACGTGGGGGTCACAGCACAGCATCGGACCACAGCATCGGACCAGGGACCAGTGACAGTGCCCTGCCACTGCCAGAGGCTCACACACCTGTCAGGACGCAGATGGGATGCTGAAGCTCCCTGCCTTTTTCCCTGCCTAGGTCTTGCTTTGTTTTTTCATTCTTTTTTTTTTTTTTTTCTGGGCAATTATTATCCTTTGACCTGTCTGTTTCTCTTGCTGGTTTTATTTTTCTCCCCCTCCAGAAGGTAAGCTTTTTTTTTTGAGACAGAGTCTCGCTTTGTTGCCCAGGCTAGAGTGAGTGTGTGGTGTCAGCCTGGCTCACAGCAACCTCAAACTCCTGGGCTCAAGCAATCCTCCTGCCTCAGCCTCCCAAGTAGCTGGGACTACATGTATGCGCCACCATGCCCTGCTAATTTTTTCTATATATATCAGTTGGCCAATTAATTTCTTTCTATTTACAGTAGAGATGGGGTCTCACTCTTGCTCAGGTTGGTTTTGAACTCCTGACCTCGATCCATCCTCCCACCTCGGCCTCCCAGAGTGCCAGGATTACAGGCGTGAGCCACCGCGCCTGGCTGAGAAGGTAAGCTTTATAAAGGGAGAGACTCAGGTCTGATTTTCTCCCTGCTGTTTCCTCAGAACCTAGAACAGTGCCTGATGCACGTTAGGCAAGCAATAAATATTTGAATGAATGAATGTATGAGTGAGTTGAGGATATTCACAAGTTTACCACCTGGTACAGGGGCAGCTGCAACATGTCTCAGCAAAGCTTCCTGGGCCCCCAGTCCCTGGGGAACAAGGTGTCAGTGATACTGTCTGCATGAGATAGGTTCTCACTGGCTCTGGAGAGTTCAGTTTTTACAACATAGTCCGTGAATACCCAGGACTTACTTCCCCATGCTGGGAGACCTTACGCAACAATGTAAACCTTTCCAGGGGTGGGATCGGATGGGCCAAAGGGTGTGAGTTTTACATTTGAGTGAAAAAGCCAACTTGCCCTCTTGGAAGGAGTGTAAGAAAAAGTGGATATAGTCAGAGGTTTGGGTCCCGTTTAACTACTGTATCACGTTATAGTTCATTCTTTCTACTTCTGTGATCTCAGAGCAAGAGAGAGCTCAGTGGGGCAGGATGGGTTAGGGAAGGCAACAAGGGGCCAAGCCACATGGGCCTTCAGTGCTAGATGAGGAGTTGGACTTTGTGCTGAGAGTACTGGGGAGCCATAGAGGGTTAGAGGCAAAAGAGGGATGTGGTCATGTTGGGGTGTGGTAGGAAAAGTCATCTAATGGCTGCCTTTCCCTCAGGACCCCTGACCTCTTTGCTCCCCTCTCACCCACAGAAACTGGCCTTTGAGTGAGGGGGGCAAGGGCAGACAGACTTGTCCTGCCAGTTGAGGCCTGCCTTGGTCAAACCGCATTGCTGCCCGTCCGGCTGAGCCACACTCTGCAGGTGTGCGGCCAGATGGAGCCAGAGATTGCAGTGGCAGACCTGGGACCGAGGTGGAGGCCAGGCTGACCCCAAGTCCCCCACATCCTACAAGGCCTGGTCTGTCTTAATTGCTCAGATAAAGTTTGAAAATGTTTATCAGAATAATTATTTTCTCAGTGTACATTTCATGTCCAGCAGTGGCATTTTTGTTAACATTTCTTTCTTTCTTTCTTTTTTTTTTTTGAGACAGAGTCTTGCATTGTTGCCATGGCTAGAGTGAGTGCCGTGGCGTCAGCCTAGCTCACAGCAACCTCAAACTCCTGGGCTCAAGCGATCCTACTGCCTCAGCCTCCCGAATAGCTGGGACTACAGGCGTGCGCCACCATGCCCGGCTAATTTTTTCTATATATATTAGTTGGCCAATTAATTTCTTTCTATTTATAGTAGAGATGGGGTCTCACTCTTGCTCAGGCTGGTTTTGAACTCCTCACCTCGAGCAATCCACCCGCCTCGGCCTCCCAGAGTGCTAGGATTACAGGCGTGAGCCACCTCGCCCAGCCAACATTTATTTCTTGATTTTTGTTGGAGAACAAAGTCAGTAATCATCCTAGAATATTTGGAAATACCAAAATACCCAAGGAATGAAATAAAAATTCCCCAAAAGTGTCTCCTCTTCTTTAATAACTAATGTTGGCCTTTGGGAGACTTTAAAAAAAATGCAAACATGCATATATTTATATTTTTATCAGAAAAGGAATTATACTTAGCATGTTGTATTGTAATCTGTTTTTTTCACTTACAATTTCCCAAGTACGTTTTCATGCCATAAAGTATTCTTTTGCAATGTGATTTTAAGGAAAAAAGCTGGTTTGATGTTTATCAATCAATCGCCATTAACTCCTCAAACATTCTTTAAAGACCCTCAGCCAAAAACATCATATTAACTCTAATATACGCTGAGTCTATAAGTTAAATATCTCTCACGGGAAGCACCAAGCATTTTCAGGTGTGACTTTACTTTTATAAATGCAAATATATGACTTACTTTGGCTAATCAATTTCCGTATGACAAGGATGGATAGAACCCCAAATATTTGAAATTGAAATTCACCAGAGACAATTGCTGCTATAGCAAGCAGTTTATTTCTGCATTTGGTTCTGCTTATGCCAGATTGAGAAAATCCACGATTCATAATAAAAAGGTCTACTGTTTCCTGAGCTCTTGGAGTGTGGCCCTATGCTATGAGGTAGGGACTGTTACAACCCCCATTTTACAGAGGGACACACTGAGACTCAAAAGAGTCTGATGGGCCTGGTGAGAACCCAGCCCTGACTTTTTACCCCTCTCAGAGAATTCCAGTCACAGACTAAGTCACCATGAACTTGCTTGTGAAGACACCTGACTTTAGAAGCAGATTAGGATGGAATCCTCCCTTTCCTTGACATGTTTACAAGCCATTCAAATATGTGCCCAGGGATGGGGGAGAAGTTTCTAGAGCTTCCAGAAGAGCCAGTTAGTCCGGTTAACCTGGAGGGGGCTCTTGTGTGATAAAACACAATGTGCAGGCCTTTAATCCTAGCACTCTGGGAGGCCGAGGCAGGTGGATTGCTCCAGGTCAGGAGTTCGAAACCAACCTGAGCAAGAGTGAGACCCCATCTCTACTATAAATAGAAAGAAATTAATTGGCCAACTAATATATATAGAAAAAACTAGCCGGGCATGGTGGCGCATGCCTGTAGTCCCAGCTACTCGGGAGGCTGAGGCAGTAGGGTTGCCTGAGCCCAGGAGTTTAAGGTTGCTGTGAGCTAGGCTGATGCCATAGCATTCACTTTAGCCTGGGCAACAAAGTGAGACTCTGTCTCAAAACAAACAAACAAACAAACAAACAAACAAAAAAACACAATGTGCATCACACCTATGTGGTATTTTAAAAATCTGATTAGAAAAGTAAAGCCACATACTATTCAGTATTTTAGAAATCCCTTTATTGGTTTTTATTTTTGAAAAATAATAGATGATCTTCATAAAAATTGTTTCAAACATTATAAAAATATGTATGATAAAATATATATGGTGAAAATTTCTACAGTCACAATTGCTGTTATAAAAAATAAATTAAAAATATGGTGAAAATTTCCCCTCCTATCAGCCTTTCATCCCACTGCCCTCCTCAAAGGAGTCCTTCCTGAGAAATAGGTGTGTATAATTTTTACAAAAATGAAATCACTTCAGCACAACGTACTGCACGTAGTTTTCAGCTGTTTCTACTCCGTATTTATTGGAGTGTTTTCCATGTTAAAACATAGAGTTCTTGCTCATCATTTGTTACTGCTGTGTGGTATTCTAGAGCATGGGCATCGCATGGCTAACACGAAATCTGAGTTTGGCACCTGCTGACCACCTGCAGACCTATGGGATAAATGAGGACCCAGAGAAATTTTATTTGATGGGGAAAGAAGCCAGACCTTTCTGGAAAGGCCCAGTTGCTGCATAATGGCCAGAGGATGAGGCTACCTTTGGGAGGACAAGAGAGGGATTCTTAAACTGTTTTTTTTTTCATGGACCCCTTAGAGAACTTTCTAGAAGGAGGGTGTCTATCACCTGTACTTCTCAATAGCCCTGTACCTTGATTTTCCTTTGATAAACAACCCTCCCCAATGTCACCACTGGACACATCCTTAGCAGGATTATCAGTCCAGGTGTCCTCCCTTCCCCAACCACAGGATGGGCCTAGAACCTAAACCAAGGCAGTGAGATTCAATTCCTCACCTTGGCTAAAGCTATTGAGAGAGAGGCCCTTTTATACTGCCCGTGTTGCTTAGCTACAAAGACGAAAGTCTGGTGTTGCCAGAGAAATCCTTTCTGAGGGTGAGGCAGGTCTCCTGGAAACCTAGATTGAACCCCTGGATCCAGACACGCCTGAAGCCAGCCCTGCTGACTCAGTTACATGGGCCACGGAGTTGCATTTCCTGCTTCAGTCAGTGCCAGCTGGGTTTCTGCCTCTTCCATCGGAAGAGTTCTTGTTCGTTCACCCTTGACCCGGAGGAAAACAAATTCATTCATTCGTTCAATCAATCGGTGTTTATTGATTATATGGTCTGTGCTGGGCAATGATGGGGACAGTGAAGTGACCATGACAGAACTTGTCTCTCCTCTCATGGCAATCCCAGTCCACCAGAGCTTACACAGACAATCACAAGCCATGAGGGAGGCCTCAGGGAGCTACACGGAGGCATCTGTGAATGGGTTGGGGGTCGGGGAAGGGTCCCCTGAGGACAGGACCTGAAAGATGGGCCAGGAACCAGCCCAGTGAAACGAGGCTCAGAGCTAAGAATCCACGCACACCAGTCCTTGGCTTTCAGGACTCACGCAAGGCCCAGCAGGGCTCAGAAACCTGGAAAAAGATCCCGGGGGGGGGGTGAAGGGAGGGAACTGGGGGGGGTGAGGCTGGAGGGGGCGGGAGCAGGAGGCGGGGGAGGCTGGGCTGTGACCTGTGACCGTGGCCTTCCCTTCCTGCTCCTCAGAGCGTGGTGTAGAAATACATGGCTATCAGCATCACCGGAAGCTGGGGGGATGCAGGGACATGAGGGGCGCCCCAGCCCCACACCCACTCCCACCCGGCCCAGGGGTCCCCACTGCTCACCGTCCACATCAGGATGGCGAAGCCAAACCAGGAGATGCCCCATGTGTAGCTGTCGATGGCGTGGCCGATGTGCTCGAAGCAGCCCTGGGCAGGGGGACGGCGGGGTGTGGGGGTGTGGGGGGTGTTGAGAGTCACTGCGCGCAGAGGCGGGGCTTGCCAAGCCCAGAGCAGCTGGAGGGACCCCGGGGACTGGTCCTCTCCTTAGTCCGTGCTTGCCCTGCGCAGTTAAGGCGCCTCCCGACCTCCTAAAATCAAATCCCAACTCCATCCCCCGCTAGCGAGGGACCTCTCAGTTTTACCATCTGTAAAATGGGGCTGTTAGAATCTCTACTTTATACTAAGATTGTGCTGAGGATTAAATAAGATAAAAACGTGAAGCCCTGAGCAGGATGCCTGGCATGAGGTACAGGTGTGGTAAGTGTTGCTGTTACTGTGGTCGCTCCTAGTCCCAGACGGCCTGAGAAAAGTTGCAGGTGCCAGGTCTGGGCGGCACAGACCCTGTATGCATCCTGCTGACTTGCAGAGAGAGAGACACAGAGAGGAGAGAAAACCAGAGGGGAAAGGAGGAGAGGGCAGGAGACGGACAGACGGACAGTGGGAGGGAGGAGGAGGTATAAGAACCAGCGAGGGAGTAAGAAGGGGCAGAGCCCAGAGATAGACGGATCAACAGACAGGCGCAGGCGCAGCTGGGGGAAGGGGACACACCTTGGTGAACAGGTAGTCCACGTGGCCCAGGCGGCAGCCCTCTTCGTTGATGGGGATGAAGTTTCCGGTCCGGCGACAGCACAGTGGGGGCCAGGGGAACGCCACCTCCGGAGTGGCCGCCCGGAAGGTTGATGTGAAGTTCACCCAGTCCATGGGGCCGGAGGTGCCGCAGCATTCTTGCTGGGGGGGAAGGTGGGGGTCGCGCAGGCTCAGAGAGGAGCCCCCTGCCCCAGGTGGCACAGCGAGGGCCCAACGTCCCCACGTCCTGGGCCTCCAAGTGAGGAGGGGGCGTGTCTGTGTGCGCAAGGATCAGACGGTATTTGTCTGAGGACCAGAGGCTGATGGTGCATTTGGATCAAGCCCACACACACACACACAAACACACAAGACTCAACTAACACAAACAACAATGAACAAAAAGGCAGAATTCTGCTTTTGCTGGCCCTAAAGTGTGTGTTATTTGGCCTCGAAATGATGAAAAACATAGGCTTGGGCGTCATTTCAAACATGAACAAGCCAGGGGCGGTGGCCCTACACAACAAAACCCTAGCAACTCTGGGAGGCACACACCTGAGGTGGGAGGATCGTTTGAGCTTCCAGGAGTTCGAGACAAAACACTGAGCAAGAGCAGATGACCCCTGCCTTACCAAAAATAGAATAAATAATTGGACAGCACAACAGTAAAAACAAAAATTAGCGCGGGCATCCGGTGGTGCATGCTGTAAGTCCCAGCCACTCAGGAGGTCTGAGGCAGGAGGATCGCTTGAACACACAATTGGAGGTTGCTGTGAGCTAAGGCCCTGACACACCACAGCACAACACACACTAGCCTAGAGCCAACAAAGTAAAGTCTCTGTTGCAAAAACAAAAAAACACACATGGGTTCAACCTGGCCAGCTAAAGAAGGACACCAAAGCTGGACCACAATTTCCCTTGATCCTCACACGTCTTCTTCTTCTGACCAAATGAACTTGATTTAATAAGAGATGTGGCCTTCGGAACCGAGTACAATATAAAAAATCCCAATTATGAGGTACTACCACTGTGTGACCTCACTCGAGCCGAACACATCTCTGGCCTGGTTTTCCCCGATCAAAAAGCTACATTGTTGTGGGGTGATCCGTAAACAACCAGCTTAAAAGTACATTGCACCTTTTTTTTTTTTTTTCGAGAAATGAGTCCTCCACCTCCTGCACCGGGCCAAACCGTCAGCACATAAAACAAAGGAGCTCACAGCAACCTCAATCTCACCACAAACCGATCCTCCGCTCCAGAACAAAAACAACACAAAAAAGGAAGACCAAACAACCACAAAAGGCCATTCTATAATATAAAATTAAAGTTGAACCACAATTCTACATAAAAAAAACAGACGGGGGGTCTAAAAAACAGCTCTTGGCTCAGGCCTGGTTTTGAACCCCTGACCTGAGCGAAACAACAGAACACATCATCAAAAAAGAATAACAAATGGGATACAGGCGTAAAGACAACCCCAAAAAGACCAGGCCTAAGTCTTTGGGGCCCACACAAGCATGCCAATGTCGTGTTATGATCCTCTTCCACAACCCAAGTAGGTACAAAACAAAAAACAAACACATGCCACTAAATATAGCAATCGCATGACACAGCAGAGGCACTACCAAACACAAACAACAAACAAGAAAAACAGCCACAACACAACACATCAGGGGTCGCCAAGAGTGGGTCATAATAAGACAAACAAAAACAACAACACAACACTTCCGGGAGGCCCCACCCACCAACAACACTCGGGGACAACACACAAAAAAAACAGCAGCCCGCGCCAACACACAAAAAGACCCGAAAACCAAAGAAGGCGGGTGAACAAACAAAAAAACTGGTCGCTGTCCACAACAAACACAGTAGAAAAAACACAACTGCCTGGTGAACAACACAAAAACACAGACACCACACAGACGCAGGGTACAGGCAACACAACACTCGCGCGCGCCCGCCGCGGCCCTGCCCGCTCAACGGCTAGTCGGCGGTGCGTGTGGACTGATCAGAGGCCGCACTCGAAGAGTAGACGACGATTGAGCACAGTACTGCGGGAGAAGGACGGCAAAGACACCGCGTCGGACAGACCCGTGAACCCAACCCCTGCCCCAACAGGAAGGATCCGTGCCTAGAAAACAATATGTTTTTTTTTTTTGAGACAGAGTCTCGCTTGTTGCCAGGCTAGAGTGAGTGCCGTGGCGGTCAGCCTAAGCTCACAGGCAGACGCTCAGACTCCTGGGCTTCAAGCGATCCTCCTGCCTCAGCCTCCCCGAGTAGCGGACTAACAGCATGCGCCACCATCCCGCCGGCTAATTTTTTTTTATATATCATAGTCAGTGCAATTAAATTTCTTTCTGTTATTAGTAAGAGATGGGGTGCTTGCCTCCGCTCAGGCTGGTTTTTGAACTCTACGCTTGAGCGACTGCCGCAGGAGTTCAAGGTCAGGAGTTTGAAACGCAGCCTGAAGCAAGAGCGCGAGACCCCCCATCCTCTACTTACAATAAGAAATGAAGCTGGCCACAACTAAGATATATAGAAAAGATTAGCGCGGGCACGGGCGGCCGCATGCCTGTAGTCCCAGCTACTCCGGAGCTGAAGGCACAGGATCGCTTAGCCCAGGAGTTGAGGTTGCCTGTGAGCATAGGCTGATGCCATGCACTCACTCCTAGCCTGGCCAACAGATGAGACTCTGTCCTCAAAAAAAAAAGAAAAGAAAAAGAAAAAAACCAGTAAGAGACAACCAGGTTGACTGTGCAAAACATACCAAAATAACAATAATAGAATAAAAATAAAAAATTTAAATAACATAAACACAACTAGGGACCATTTGAGCACAGATTGGGCATGTGGAAGGATATGGAGGAACTAAGATGAATTGTATGGGCACGTGCCAACAAGCAAGAGGGGGAAAAAAGCCCAATAGTTGGTGGTTTATGAAAATCTCTCCTGTCCACCGTCC